ATCTCAGTTGAGCTCTTGATATCCTTGAATAGACCATCTTCTCAGTGCTTTCTCCGCTTGTAATGTTGGAGCCTCAGACTAGGGTTTTGTTGTCATATAATTCACTGCGGTAGGACCTTCCCTCACTTAATGATGAAGAGAGAATTTTAGTTGGAAAATTCATAAGGATTTATAAATGTTAGCAAAATGAATTTCGATCCACCCTCCAAAAAGTAAGATGGTCTCCCTCATTTGTACCAGCCCTCCCACCCCAAGCTTCTGAGATACTCTGCTGATTTAGAGTACCAGGTTCCTCAGAAACACTGAAGTGGCACTAACAGGCCAAGGAGACAGGTGGCTTGTGTCAGAGCTTGTCCTACATGCTTCCCTCCTGGGTGGCCCAGTCTCTTTGTGTCTCGGTTTCCTCCTGTGGAAAGAGTGAAAACAGCATCTGTGGCAATGGGACCAGAACTAGCAAATGAGGCAACACAAAGGGAGCCTCTAGTACAGGATCCGTCCTGATCAATGGGTGGCTGAACCTGAGAGACAGTCTCTTCTTGTATCTGTCTTGTGAAGATTTAGAAACAAGGGAATCCTGGGAACAGGGCCCCATGGGCGCCCATTCTTCTCTCTGCCTCTGTCTTGGTTGTTGTCATGGTTTAAATCTGAAAAGTCTCCCACAGGCTCATGGTTTTTTTAAAAAATATTTTATTATTTTTATTTTATGTGTATGCATGTATTGCCTGCATGTAGGTAAGTGAACCTGTGTCATGCAATGCCCTCGGAGAACAGAAGAGACTGTCGGATCCCCTGGACATGGAGTTACAGACAGTTGTTTGCTGCCATGTGGGTACTGGGTTTCGAACCCAGGTCTTTTGCAAGAACAGTGTTCTTAACCACTGAGCCATCTCTCCAGCCCTGTGTTTTATTTTTTTAATATTTATTTATTTATTGACAGGTTCTCCCTGTAGTTTCCCTATAGCTGACCTGGACCTTGCTTTGTAGACCAGACTGGCCTCAAACTCACAGAGATTCACCTATCTCTGCCTTGAGTGCTGGAATTAAAGGCATGTTCCACCATGCCTGGCCCAGGCTAATGTTTTAAATACTTGTTCTCCAGGGGCTGGAGAGATGGCTCAGCAGTTAAGGGCACTGGCTGTTCCTCCAGAGGACTAGGAATCGGTTCCTAGCTTCCACATGCCAGCTAAAAACCATCTGTAACTCCAGTTCCAGGGGACCCGGCGCCCTCTTCTGACCTTTGTGGGCACTGCATGACACGGGTGCACTTACATGTAGCAATACACTCATACACATAAAATAATAAAAATATTAAATACTTGTTCTTCAGTTGGTAGTGTAACTGTTAGGTTTGTGGAACCTTTAGGAGACACCATCTATGTGGTGGAAACAGATCATTTGGAACCAGAGTTTCAAGGTTATACACAGTCTGCACAGACCTGCACTCTGCTCCTTGGTCTGCTGTGTTATTAACAACCTCTGCCATATACTTCCCACTGCCATGAACTCAAGCACTGAACTCTGAAAGCCATAAGCCAAAATAAATCTTTCTTTGCTTAAGTTGTTTTGGTCAGGTATTGACACAAGGAAAAAGTCACCAATACAGAAAATTGATGCCAGAGTCACTGCTATGAGTAGACTTGACCATGTGGTTCATAGATCTTTCAAACTGATTTTCAGAAGGAATTTGGAAAAGTTTGGAGGTATAGACCAGGGAAGCCCCAGAATGCTGTAAGAAGAGCTTAACAGGTGATTCTGCTGGGAGTTCAAAAGACCAAAATGCCAGTAGAAATGAAAACAGTGAAGGCCTGACTTGTGAGGTTTAGATGTGAAGGACTCTACTGGACACAGCACTAGAAGCCATTTGTGTTACATTCTGGCAGAGAATTTATGTATATTTGGCCCATATCCTGAACATTTGGATGAGGCTGAATTAAAAAGTAATAGACTAATTTGGTAGAAGAACCATCAAGACAACATAGCATTCAAGTTGGCATAGTTATTGTTGACTACTTTTGACCAGGTTTACAGTGAAAATTAGAATAAAACAGATCAGAATGATGTGAGAAATATGCAGTTTGGGAAGAAAAGGACCTAAGTTGCAGACAAAGATGATTTAATTGCCGTTTTAAATTATTTTATTTTTATTTTATGTGTATGAATATATCACCTCAATATATGTAAGTGCACCCATGTCATTCAATGCCCATGGCAGTTAGAAGAGGGCATCAGCTCCCCTGGAACTGGAATTACAGATGGTTGTTAGCCACCATGTGAGTGCTGGGAACTGAAGCTGTAATTGTTAAAGACATTAAAAAGAAGCTGAGTGAGGTGGGTATGGTGGCACATACCTTTAATTCTAGCACTTGGCAGACAGAAGCAGGCAGATCCCTGTGAGTTTGAAGCTAGCCTGGTCTAGTTCCAGGCCACCTAGGGGTACATAGTGAGGTGCTGTCAAAATAATTAAAAATATTTTGTTTATTATTTTTATTTTATGTATATGTGTGTATTGCCTGCATGTAGAATGCCCACGGAGGACAGAAGAGGCTGTTGGATCCCCTGGACCTGGAGTTACGGACAGTTGTTAACTGCCATGTGGATGCTGGGATTTGAACCTGGGCCTTCTGAAAGAACAGTGTTCTTAACTGCTGAGCCATCTCTCCAGCCCCAAAATAATTTTTAATATTTTATTTAAATTTTTTGTGTATGAGTGTATTGCCTGCACGTATATAAGTGCATCTGTGTTGTACAATACCCATAGAGGTCAGAAGAGGGCATCATAGTCCCAAGAACTGGAGTTATAGATGGTTGTTAGCTGCCATGTGGGTGCTGAGATTTGAACCTGGCTCCTCTGGAAGAACAGCTCTTAACCACTGAGCCATCTCTACAGCCCCTGAGACTCTGTCAAAATAATTTTTAAAAAAGAATCTGAGCACTTTGCACTGAGACAACAGGAAGAGCCTCAATGGCATTCCAGGAGTTAGTGAGACCCCTTAACCATTGCAGGGTTCAGGGGGTAAAATGCAAACTCATTTGAAAGACTTTCTTTTGAGGAGAGCTTGCCAATGGCATGCTCTCCTCATAAAGGGCTGCTTAGAGAAGAGTTTTCCTGGGTTCAGTTGCCTAGGCAATCTGAGGCCTCTGTACCCAGGGTCCAAGGAAGCCCAGCTACTGGCAATAGAACTTGGCATTATTTACATGGTGCTAGTTTGGCAGGCATGAAGAATGCAAGATTTATGGAGTCGTGGGTTATGATAGGACTATGCATGAAGCCATGAGGGTGAAATCCAAGTTGCAGTGGAGACCCTAGAATGCCGTAGATACCAGGAACACAGGCTGTTTAAGGAAAGCTACAGGTGCTAAATGGAACCTGACCAAGACAAAGAGACCATGTACACAGCAGATGTCCTAAGGGCTTAGGGTCAGGTCAGAGGTCACACCGTGACACCCCAGATGCTGATCTTTGAGCTATAAGTTAACATTTGCCCCTATGGGTTTTGTTCTTGCTCTAGTCCCAGCTCCCCTCTCTGTATCCCTAATCTTCCCTTTTGGAATGAGAATGTTCATATATACTAGAAGTGCAGACCTTTTTGTTTTTATAGGGCCTCATAGTTAAGAGGTTGCCTTGAGTCTCAAAGGAGCTTTTGAACTTTAGTCTTCTAAACAGTGCTGGAACTGTTAAGACTGAGACTTTTGAAGTTGAATTAAAATAATTTTTGCATTATGAGATGTCCATAAGCCTTTGGAGAAAAGGGTGGAATGTCATGACTTTAACCTGGAGCTTTGAAGACTTGTTCTTCAGCTGACAGTGCTAGTTTAGGAGGCTGTGGAAGCTTTAGGAGGGGTTCTGGCTGGCAGAAGCAGGTCACTAGGAGTGGGCTTTTGTTACCCAAGATCTTGGTTCCTGCCTTGTCCTCTGCTTCCTGGTGTGCTGTGATGTGAACAGCCCCTACCACATACTCCCACTGCCATGAACTGAGTTTTCCCTGACATGATGGATGGAGACCCTCTGAAACCATGAACCACAACAGATCTTTCCTCATTTAACTTGCTTCTGTCAAGTGTATGTCACAGCAATGCAACCTAACTCATACAGTTGGGGTGGCCATGGGAGCCGCTGAGAGTCAAAACTTGAAGGCAACTGTAGTTTGGATATATCCTGCCATATATCCTGTCCCATCCCCTCCTTCACCTGGTACCCCTCTTTGCCAGGTCTCCAAGACAGAAGAATTTTACTTCCTAACCTTGAGAAAGGGCTGTGACTGTTGCTATGGCTGCTTTCTGATTATCCCACGTTACTTCCTGAAACATGTCCTAGGCAATGATTAGTTCGCTTTCGCTTAACATGGAGCTGGGCATTCACCATATATTAGGCACAGAATTTGGCATATTAGCAGTTCTTTCCTTACTAGAAAATAATGAAATACCTCAAAGGCACAAATGAAGTCTGTCTTCCTCACTTCAAGACAATGCTAAGCACCCAACACAGCATCTAGCCCCTAAAGGTTTTCAAGAAACACACAGGGAGAGATTGGATGGAAGAACTGGTGGCTGGCTCACTGCTTCTGTTGCAGGACCCAAACGGCTGTGCTATTTTGTGCAGGTGCCGCTAGAGGGCGGCAGCCATTAAGACAACAGTGCTCAGGGTCGGCCAGGGCCAGAAGTACTGGGTAATAAAAAGGATGGAGGGAGAAAAGCATTTACAATGACTTGGGAACCGGGATGGTGCGGGGGAGCAAACAAACACCTTCAAACCCAGTTTTTGTTTCTCTTGGGAGTCAAATGGATATGGAGATACTGAGATTAAAGTTAGACTTACAGCGGCACTTTCAAAACATTGTTAACTTGAAGTTTTTTAGGCTACTTTTTAAAGAGCTCTTAACTACATCTGCCTAAACAGAATAGCAAAGAAAGAACTTATACAGTCCAAGGCACATGGAACTGTACTAGACACCCGTAAGGTAAAGCTGAGGTCTGCTGCTAATTAACTCCATCCTCAAAAATGCACTTATAAAATAACTTTATTGGTCGGGTTAGCCACCACTCATGCTTGCCCCATGCTGAGGACCCTTTATAGAGGCATGATGGTGTTCATATGCAGATGCTTTCCGAGAGCCCCTGGGCAAGGCAGGCTTGCCCCTTGCAGCTGCATGCCCTGGCTGAAATGAGCTGGTTTGGCTTTTGTGGATTTCAGGGTCTGAAGCCCAGAACACAGTCCCCTCTTCCCCTTTTTGAGGAAGCTGCTCCCAAGCACACATAGAGTCAGGGATGTAAGTCATCTGAGCAGGGACCTGACTCAAGCTAACTTCCCTCAGCTGATCCTTACTGGTGGCTACCCATGTGGCCCCATCCCACTGGGACCCAGAAAAGCATGTGGGTTACAGGCAACATGACCTTTCAGAGAAAGAAGGAAGTGCTCTTCAATCAAGCTGCAAAGCACAGGTCAGGAGGGGTGGCTCCCATATGCAAAAACAGAGGAATTCCTGCCTAGCACTGGAAAGACTTGGCTCCCTGGCCTGGACTTCTGGTACCCCAAAAAACATCTTTAGGAGAGCTGATACCTTTAACTCGGGCCTTTGGACAAACAAACTATTGGCCACACCCCTCTAGTTTAGGCTAACAGGTGGGTCCAGGGGTGGCTGAAGTCTGCCTCTCCTGTCCATATACCAAATCTTCCTGCTTAGATCAAGAAGGGGGTGAAGCACCTTTCTCATAGTTTGAAAACCACACTGTTCTACCTTCAAGGTTAAATGCCCTAGTAGGGGTGCAGTGTGTGCTGGGTCAGATGAAACCAGAGGGGCTGTCCTTTCAGTTCTGTCAGTCTAGGTGTGGCCCCTTCCTTACCCCATTATGAAAACTGATGATAACAAGTCTGGCCTTCCCTCCTTTGAAATCTGATCTACCCTTACAGAGTTGCTAGGCTGCTAAGCTATAGCCTCATTACATTTACCTAAATGGAGGTTAGTTATGTCCTCTGGTATCAAGCCATGAATATTGTCACTGTCCTGATGACCTCCAATCTGATGGCTTCAAAGAGGTGATGTTAAGGAGGTGTAGTGGTGACTTTCAGCAACTCTTTTAACTTCAGACAATAGTGTGGGTTCTCTCCACAACTTGCTGAACAGGTGCCCACCTGCCTTGGGGTCTCCTGAATACCTAAAGCATATAAGAGGCATCAGAGAAAGAGAGCAGAGTGGTTGAGCTGGGCCTAGGAGGAAGGGGCTGGGCAAGAGGTACGTTTTGAGGAGCAGTGAAGAGGAGCCAAGAGCAACTGCAGGAGCAGCCCAGCAGTGCAGACAGCTGTCTGCTCATGGAGGGGGCAGAGTTTGTCTGAAAACAGTTTTGTACTATTGCCCAAGGGAAGTTATAGCCCAGAGATACCAGACTATCAGGAGAGCTCAAGAATAGTCAGACTTCTGGGGCTGGAACTCTGTGGCCCACTCCCTCTGCCACCACTTTTGTACCTGGAGAACAGAGAGCTCTGCCAATGTCCTCTGCAGAAGCCAGCCTGGCCCCTGATCCCACCTAACCCTGTCTATGGGGAGTAGACTGAAGAAGAGCCCATGGACTTCTGTCAAACATGCTTGCTCCAGACCTTCCAGCAAAAGCCAAACCAAGTCATCAAGCCGAGGCAGAAGCAAGGGCTGACGCCTGGCCCCTGTGAGGGCCACTCAGATCTCGATGAGACTGGCAAGGCGCAGGCAGAGTGGTGCGTCCACAGGCATGGCACTGCGCTGGATCTCGTTTCCATCCAGGCGCAGCACCTGCAGCTTGGAGAAGTTCATGACATCCACCACGGTGCAGAAGCTGCTGATGGAGAACTCTGGGGGAACAAGAAGGGCAGGAGGGTGAGAGAAGGCCAGCTCAGGAACCAAATACAAAGTGGGCTTAGAGCACCTGCTTGAGGTCCCTGAACAGAGTTCAGACGAGGGCAAGAGGGTACCAAGTTGAGAGGGGGCTAAATGTATCCTAGGATTGGGGTCAGATGGACTGGCACTGTTCTAAACAGAGCTAAGGACAGGGCTGGTCATTGTTTCAGTTTCTCAGTTCAGTCACCTCCTTTCCACCTGCACTGGTACTTTGCTCTACAGGCCCTGAACGTCCTTGGGTGTCCTTCCCACCAGCCCGTTTTTCTTCCTGTCTGCAGGCAGCAGGGGGAAGCAGAGGGTAGGCCAAGACCACAGCAGCTCTGAAAGGCTTGGCTGCTTCTGGGAGGCCTTTGCTGATGGCACACTGTGAGAAGCAAGTCTGGAAAATAGAGAGACTTCAGTCTTGAGCATTTCCTGCCACTTTGCAGATAAAGAAGCAGGAAATGAAAAAGAGAAATCTGGGCCCAGAGTGAATGTCTGAGTGCCAGTGCTTTCAGGAGACTGGCAGGGGAAGGCAGGCTGGGAACTCAGGGCATAGCCACAGTGCACAGAACCAAATAAGCCACTCCCTTGCCTCCTGCATGATTACGTAGGCCTCTTTTATTTGGGGGGACAGGTCTCAGGTAGTCCAGCCTGGTCTCAAACTCACTATGTAGCCAAGTCTAACCTTGGACTCTTGTTCCTCCTGCCTCTACCTCCTGAGTGCTGGGATTACAGGCATGTGCCACCCACCCATGCCCTATAGTCTGCCTTTTTCTTTTACTTTTTTCTTTTTCCATTTTTGTGTGTGTACAGAGTGCATATGTGTGTGTGCATGTTTGCATGCACGTGTGTACATGTTCATACATGTGGAGGCCCAAGGCTGATGTCAGGAATCATCCTTGATTGCTTTTCCATCCTACTCATTGAGAAGGTTCTTTCAATGAAACTAAGAGTTTGCCAGTTTGGTTAGTCTCACTAGCCCCTGGCATTATGGGCATCTGAACTCTGGTCTTCATGCTTGCATGGCAAGTCCTTTAACCACTGAGCCTTCTCCTTACCCCCTACCTCTTTTAACTCTCAGAAGTTGCCCAGGACTTTCTTGTAGAAGAGCCACACCAGACCCAGTTGTTCTACTTTGTTTTAATGTAAAACCTCCCACAGCTTGCTCTGGCTGTCCGCTTGGACAAGTCAATCAGTTCTGTCTTCAGTCTACTTACTGTCAGTAGGAAAAACCAAGACCCAGGGAAACTCCAGCAGAGACAGTGAAACCCCCACTGAAAGTCACAAAGCCTCTCAGGGCTGCCTTCCACTTGGTGTTTGAGGGTCCTCAGAAGGCTGCTCTTGTTATTTTCTGTGAAGGAGTCTGGAAGATGGTGCTGGTGGGGTCTGGAGTGAGTACCACTCATGGGCACATTGCTGGCAGCTGCAACCTGGGCATAGAGTCAGGCTAGCTTCATCCCACCAGCAGCTTTCCTCATCTCCGAAAGGTGTCTGGAACCATGGTCAGAATGGAGCTGGCAGGAGCTAACCAGCTAAGGAGAACCATGGGGGTTCTTCCTGGGGGGTAATTGTGAGAGTGAAAATGAAGGTCCCAAGGAAGACCGAAGGCTGAGGCTGAGGAAGAAAGTGTTTCTAAATTAACACTGTCAGTTGTTAATTTAGAACTGACTGAAAATGAGCCAGGGTGAGGCTGTAGCAAATTGACTTACATTGAGATAGACACAGAATTCAGGTCCAGAGAAGAATTAGGCCTAGGAGGATTCAGGGACTGGGAAACACCTTTCATGGAGGGACAGAAGATCTGGAATGCATTGTAGTATTTTCCTTCTGGAAGAAGATTCAGTAGGCAAAGTCTAGGTGGGAGTTGCGTTTGTTATCTGTGTTCAGGGAAGGGAGATGTAGTGACTAAGCTGAGTTGTTACTTCCAACTCTATTTGGGGCTAAGCTACAGGCACCATGATAGGTTTCTCCTAACCTGGAGCAGATTGTCTGATAAAATCCCAGTTCCCAGCTGTAGGCATATAAATATGGTCCAGGCCCGTGAGCATCTAGACACAAGCATTTAGACCAGCTACACACAGGGCTCTGGGAGTGCTCCCACTTTCTCCTCAACCCACAGTAGGACAGGGCTTCTGTGAGGAGGCTCTGGTAGACATTTTCCAGCCCAGATCAAATACTGACATAAATCTTTCCAAATTCCAATAACTTCCCTGCTCCACTGGATCCCACAGCTTCCGAATAACATTCCGTGGTGTTGTTCCTTAGCTGCTGCCAGGCTGGAAAAACTGAGGGAGACACTGGAGAGAGAAATAAGGGAGGGAGAAGACCCTATCTTGTTGCTTGTAGGCCTGGAGCTCCTGTTCTGTTGGCTTCTCCTTCATACTTTTACCTCACCTTCATCCTACCTGGGTTCCTGGCTTGGCAGTACAGGAAGGCCTCTCTCCTGGTCACAGTGTTCATGTGTGTGTGGGGGGGGGGGATTGTTTACTGCTAGTGGCCTGCAACAGGGAGAGATTGCTCCCCGTTCTCTGTCAGAGATGCCTGGCTTCAAGTCCTTTGACACTGAAGGCAGGAGTTTAGGATTCTAACCTTCATAAGCTGGGTGACCTGGAGAGACAGTTTTTCTTTCTCTGCCTCAGTTCCCCATCTTGGTGATACAGAAAACAACAACCCAAACTGTACTTGTCAAATCCAAACTGACAGTAAGAAGACAAGATCATTTGTTATGTGAATTGTTTTTGAAGCTGTGTGCCAGGCCCTCTGAACTATGCGCTTACATATACTATTTACTAATTTAAGAAAGATAGGGCATTGGTGTTATTTTGCTTAAAGAGAAGACAGGGAGAGAGAATAAATGATACTCAGCAGAGGGAATTAGGCCTAAACCAAGTGCAGGAATTTGGTAGACACTGAAAATTCCTAGGTGGTTTGAACAGATAACTTTCTTGCAGGACCCTAGGATACCTCATCAAATAACTTAGTTTCTGATCAGCTTTTGGGAGAGGTGGGCCACCTTATATTTGATTGGTGGATGTAGTTCTGCATAAAGACAGACAGGTAAGGAGACACTGTGACAAAGACTTTCTTCACCATCTTTCTCTGACTGGATAGTTAGGCATTAACTAATGGGTTCTTTCCAAGAGCTCCTTTGGGGTAAGTTGAATAAGCACGACATACAGTTTGACATTTCTGATGTGACAAACCTCCTGGATTCAGAGTAGGTAGTAGGTGACTGCTGGGTAGGACATAAAGCCATGAGAAAATGCCAAACCTTGGTGGCATGCAACATCTTCAAGATAGCTTAAAGGACCCCCACCCTCTCTTTGAGACTAACAAGACACCCCATAAGAGAGACTTTAAATAAAAACCAACTTGGAATGTATGTGACATGTGACGGTGCCTTGCAGTTCAAATGAAAGGACCAGTTAGACTCCTCTCCACCTCACAGCCCACTGCAACCTCCCCTGTTGCCTTCTGAGGCTGGCGGTCTGGCTAGTTAACATTTGCTAAATGACTAATCTGTCCCCTGAGAAGAGATGAGGGAGGGGAAGAGGACAGGACTGGGTACGTCCAGTGCTTTGATTGCTGGTTCCTTCTCAGCAGGCTGAATTTCAAAGCTCTCTGCATGGTCATTCATAGGCTTCTCCTCCTCAGAGGAGGACTGGGCCAGGGTGAGGGAAGCTAAATGCTGGCTCAGTACCTTCTAGCTGAGATCAAGACATCAGAGACCATGGGGCAACAAAGCATGTTTTGAACTTGATCTTAAGAGAAAGAGACTGAAAAGCCAGCATTGAGTCAGAAATTCATCTCTTAAGCTCCCAGCCCCAGAAAGGCAGTCCTGTACAGGGAAATGCCCAGAAAATATGTCATCCCATGCCCCCACCATAAGGCTTCAGGTGGCCAGGCAAATGTTGCCACAGAGGACCTTTGCCTTGACACCAGGGGTTCCTTGGACTCCGTGGAGAACTGTACAGAACAAGTCCCATACTCAGTTCTGGGAGGCTGCCCATTTTTGTCTATTACTTGTATAAAGCAAATACTAGAACAGGCTGTGCAGGCAGGAGTTATTTGGTGCTAACAGAAAGGTCGTGTCCTCTGATGATTGTGAGGAGGATCAGAGACCTCTGGGTTCTTAACAGTCCAACTTCCTCCAGAGACAGACCCCACAAGATAAGCTTAAGTCTCCTCTGTGAATACCCCTCCTGAGCTTTTCCCAGCTCACCTCTCCCTCTCCTAACATGTAACCTCTTCCTCTCAATTGTGCATCCCTGGTTGTCCCTTCTGGGTGACTTGCTAAGTGACTAGTTTTTTTGTGGCATTCCTAATCTAAGTGGCTGTGTCCTGCTTTCCTCCAACCTGTGCACTCACCTCGCTAGCCCTAAACTGAAACTGTCTTTCCTGGGAAGTGGTCTTTGGAGCCAACCAACTCTGTGTTTGAGTTTTTTTTTTTTTTTTCACCTCTGCTGGAGTACCAGTATGCTTCAAACCCCCCCACCCCACACTGCAGGGATTCAGTGCTCAGAAACTTTGCCTGAACTGTTTGGTTCTTTGGGCCTATTTCTTTCATAGTCTCACTAGCACTAGAGGAGTCCCGTTTCTTTCCCCCGCCCCATCTCACCATTGATCCTATTGCCTTGGAGGTAGAGGTTCTCCAGGTTGGTGTTGACAGGAGGGATCTTCTGCAGCTGGTTGTAGGACAAGTCAAGCTCAAGGAGGCTGCTGGAGTTGAAGGTGTTGGTGGCCAGGCCGTTGTTGGTGAGACTATTGTGGGACAGGCGCACATACAACAGCTTGGGCGAACCCCGGAAGTAGCTGTCGGGAACAGTATAGACGTTGTTGTGCTCCAGGTACAGCTGCTCAAGGGCTGAGGGCAGACCGTCTGGCACCCTCCGAAGGTGGTTGTAACTAAGGTCCAGCAGGATCAAGGAGCGGAGGCCCCTCATGGAACTTCCCACTTCCTGGATCTCATTGTGTTGGAGGTACAATGCTGTGAGGTTCTCCAGACCCTCCAGAGCATTGCTGGGGACCCGGGAGATCTGGTTGTGGTCCAGGTGGAGTTCTCTCAGGGATCGAGGCAGCGGGCCAGGCATCCGGGTCAGGTTGTTGTGGTCCAGGTACAGCCTCTCCAGGTGCCTCAGCTTGGAGAAGACCTTCCTGCCCACCTTGTCACTGGTAATCTGATTGCCATGGAGAGCAATCCAGAGCAGCCCAGTGGCATTGTCGAAGACACCTTCCTGGATTGCAGAGATCTGGTTGTTCTGGAAGTAGACGTACTTCATACGGGAGGGCACAAAGGGCAAGTACTTGAGGTTGCGGTTGTCACAGTACATGGCTGTTGGGAAGTTGGGGGGGCAGTCGCACTCCTGGGGGCAGTCTCGGGGCTCTGGTGGGGGTGGTGCACCATAGGCATAGGCTGGGCCTTCCTCCACCCCATAGGGGTAAGTCTCAGAGGGTTCATATGGGTAAGGGTCATAGTGATCATAATAGGTAGACTGCTGGCTTCGGAGGTATTGGATCCACCAATGAGAGTCTTCATCATACTGTGCCTGGGAAAGGGAGCAGAGCCCTGCCAGCAGTAGGAGGGAGGCCCAATGCATTTTGTCTCTGCAGAAAAGGAGAGAACAGAGCGAGTGGGGGGCATAAGTAAGGGTCCAGGAGAGCAGCCAGGCTGACTGTAGGCTCTGAGGGGCACAGATGGTGTTCTGACTGTGTGACCAATCACTGGAGAGCAGGAGCTCGACTCTCCCTTCCCAGGTGCCTCCTCCTACTAGCTCTGCACACTCAGGGAACTGAACCCTGGCTATCTGCAGAAGACCAATGCATTTGCTTCTGGTCATGTGGCCACAAAAGAATCTGCGATTAGAAGGAACCTGAGAGGCATGGGATCTACACTTCTGGGAAGTGCAAGTCCTTAGTTGTCTCTAGCACCCTGACGATTCTGTTGGGGAAACTGGGAAGCCCACAATGCACACGATCTCTCTCCCTTCCTCTATTTCTCTCTTCTTAATAATGGTAGAGTACTCTTCAGGTCTGAATTGCCTTCTAGTTTAGACTCCCAGGGAAATACTTTCTTAGAGTTAAGGTAAAGAGTCTCCTGGCTCTTTCCATGTCCAAGAAACTTCCAGAAATGGCTGAGACATCAACAGGGAAGATCGAGCTGCTTCTGGAAAATCTTTTGGTCTCTTGGGCAGGCTGAGGGTTTATGACTGTGTGGGAGGGTGTGGTTTCCCTCTGTGGCTACCACAAGTCCAGTGCTACTCTCCTAAGTACCATCATCTGGGATAGTCTGCTGGGTGAGAAAACTTGCTGGTTAGCAGTTTGTGGCCATACCATGTACCCAGTCTTCAGTCTCTCCAGACTGGGGACCCAACCCTGGGTGTGGACATTGTCTTCTAGGGGCTGCTGACTATTGTATCTAGGCTAGTCCACTTCTCTTTCTTCTGTGGTCCCGTGGTGCTGATGGAAAAACTCCTACTCCTCATGCCCACCATGGGAATTGTGTGAGAGTCATGTGAAAGGCAAGAGAAATGAGCTAGGAACACTGAGAACTGCAATAGAATGTAGGCTTTGGGAGCTTCTTAAGGGAGAATAGCCTAGGGTAGGGTTTAGCATCTCCTTTCCTATCCCAAGCTACCTACTCCAAGTGATGATGCCTAGCTTGCCAGGCTTACTTACCACTCATATTGCTGAGGAGCCTGTTGCCTTGGCACTTGCTGTGCTAGTAAGATGAGAATGGGGTAGACTGGGGCCTCCAGGAAGGAGCTGGAGGTGCGAAAGATGAGGGACCAGGGATGTCATATCAGGCCTAAGTACCCTACTCCAGTTTCTTATGACTAGTGCCCTGTGGGCAGAGGGCACCCCCAACCCCCCAGAATGCAACTGTTAACACAGAGAAAGCTTAGAACCTTTCCCAGCCTGAGAGAGTCACCTGTAATCTTCATGCTGTTGTTGGGCCTTGGTGGGGTTGGCAACTGTGGGCAGGACAGGAAAGGAGTATAAAGGACAACATTGAATTCAATGAACTGATAAGAAGGACCATGACTGCAACACTCCAACTAGTGACCTTCTGGCCACCATCCCTGTCAAACCTCTTTGTTCCCTGAAAGCAGTTCCATTAGAGCTTCTTCACCACATCAGCTCATGGGTGGCAAAGAATGGGTACTCTGGCTCATCCTTGGGCAGCCACAAGCCTTGAACAAAGAGCCACAGTGTTTCTGAGAAGCAGACTCAACTGCCCACTGCCTGGGCACACTGGCTGGTCCCTGGCTCTGGCCAGGGGAGAAGACGGATGGAGCGGCCCACTGCCAAGAGTGCATTTTTCCATGCACAACCCTGGGCTGCTGCAGGACCAAGGTGGCTGTCTGGAGGGCTGGCACAGTGAGCCTCTGTCTTCATTTCTCCTTCTTTTAGACTGGGCACTTTGGCAGAACTACCTTCCTCTTCAGACTCGGCTTTCCAGAGGCTCTGTGCCCAGCCACAGTGGCCTCTCCTCAGAGCCATGGCTGCTGGAAGGGTTTGGTAGAAGTCAGGCCTGTCCTCACCCTATGAGATCTAGCAGTGTTGTTGTGGGTTGTGCACTCTTAAATTGTTTCTCTGCTGCTAGATACCCTCTTTTCAGTGAGGAGTTTCCGGCCTGCTACTCTCTGAGTTGAAGATGCTGACTCAAGAGCTACTGTGCTCTTCCGTTTCTTCACTCTAGAGAAATTCTCTCCTATCAGAGCTGAGGTCAAACCAGAAACCACCTCCCACCCTGGATGGGGTACCATTCCATCCATGACACGCTGGATATGGTCAATTCTTTATTCTCTCCCTCTCACCCTAACAACACGCTACATGAAACTTGTTCTTCAACAGCATGTGGGCACCACACCCCTCTCTAAGAGAGATTTCAGAGACTACCTTCCAAAGTGCCCCAAGCCCCAACACAGTGGGATTCGTGAGTGGGGAAAGTGATCCTGAAGACTCCTTTATATATGTGAATCGGAGGTCCCCAACACCAGTAAGGGAGCTGTAGGAAGGAGACAGGTAAAATTCTAGAGCCCATTTGCCTTTGCCTCTTTCCACATCCCTGGGGTCATGAGTTAGGTAGGAGAAATAACCTCTCCGCGCTTACCCTTCTTCCCGGCTCTGTCCCTTATCTTTTTCTTTCTTAGAATTTCAAGCGACAAAACCAAAAGAAAAATGACTAAACTTACCTTGCGTTGAACCTTTCAGAGTTACCACGTCCCTCTGTCTGGCCTCCTTGAGTTGGAGAATGTGTGAGAGAGAGGAAGAGAGAGGAGTAAGTGCTTACAGAGTCTGCGCCAGGCCAGGGCCCGCCCCCAAATTCCTAATCAAATATCTGGAAGAGGGGCTGAGGAGAGCCTGGCTTTTTCAGTTCTGCGGCAGGGGTGGAGCTCACACTCAACTATGAAAAAGCCTTCTCTCTGCCCGGTGCTGCAAAAACCACCTTCTTTCCACTCACTTATCTTCCTTGAAGCCTTGGCAGCCCTGGGTCTCCTTCTGCTGAATGAGTTAGCGATGCCCCAGAAGTTATTTGTGCAGTCTCTTCTGAAGCGCCTGGATTTCTCGTTAAGCCGCAGGAGAGGGATGGCTGGGGTTTAGCGAAAAATTCTCTTAACTCTTTCAGGAACCCTGGTCCCCTTGGGGAGCCAGTACTATTTCTTGGCTCAAGCGCCCCCTATCGCCAGGTGTTAGACTAGTGCGTGCAGGAGCACTGCTGGCAGGAACAAATGGAAAGAGAGTGATGTTGACTATGTACTACTGTATCAGCAAACATTTCTCTCAATCCTACTTTATGCCTAATAAGATCTTTTTGGATGTATCAAGTATTGTAGGAGGTAGTGTGGGGGCAGGCACCTACTTGGCACTGCTGGGGCTCACTATGTGGTAGATAGTGACTGTTACTGTCAGTCCCACTTTACAGATGTACAGTCCCTGAGTCAGAGGAAGATGAAGCTAGAGAAGGGGCAGGAGCTAGACAGTGAGGGGACTTTTAGACCACAGAAAAGATTTTAGTCTAAATGTTTAAACGGCATGCTTTATGAAGGGGAAGCTCTAGGATTTGATTTACATTTTAAAAAGTACACAGGAGGACTGCAGTGTGAGGAACCGGGGCTCCTGGACAGCCTAGAGAAGGGATGGTAGATTGGATTAGTGCTGCAGGGGAGGGGGCAGACTATACTGGACAGAACTGAGATTTCTTACAGATGGATCAGATATGCAAAACTAGGAAAGTCAAGGATGATTCTTAGAATTTTAATTTGACAACTGGATGGGTGGCGGTACCACTTCCTGACATGGGAGAGATGGGAGGAGCAGAGTTAGGTGGAAAACCAAAGTTACACTTTGGGTGTGCAAAATTAGATGCTTCAGGCCTTCAGTGAGGATGCATATAGGAAGATGGGTACATGAAATTGAATCAGGAATTGAGGGACTAAGGGAAAATCCCTGAGAACCAGGACAGTGAGCCTCAGGTTGAGTTTTGGTAGCCTAGATGATCTTGATGTCCAAATACTCTCTCCTCAAACAATTGGCTCATATCAATACCCAAGAAATATCCTTTACTTTAAAGAAATACAAACTGGGAAATTCTCAGAGGATTTGAATTTGGAGAATTTAGAAGTGTCCAGGCAGATGGTGCTTTTGGTTGCTGTGATCAATTTGAGCTGTTGACTTAGTGTGGAGGCTGCCAAGGGCCTGTTGTCTTCAGGATTTAAGAATTTTTGAAAGGATGAAATGCTGGCCTTTGAAAGGATGAAAAACTGGCTGCTTTACTTTTGTCATCTCATTTAATGACCACAGTAGTAGTTTTCTTTAGCTTTATTTGTTTTTATTTTTTGAGACAGGGCCTATAGCCTCAGTTGACCTGGAACTCACTATGTACATCAGGCTGGCCTTGATCTCCACCTGCCTCTCAGAGCCTCAGTGCTGGGATTAAAGGTGTGCACTACCATGCCTGACTTGCTCTGCAGTAGAAATAGGAACTAAGTGATGCAAAGTTGACTAGCTGGTAAGAGGTTGTAAAATCTACATGACTCCAAAGTCTGCATACTTTTCTATAACTCTAGACCAGAAAATTGGCAGGGTGGAGGGATGATGACCAGTCTGCCGTCACAGCTGGGCTCAAATAAGGTGGCAGTCAAATATCTATAGCAGTCTGCTGTCCTGGGAGCAGGAGTGTATAGAGATAGGAGTCAGGGACCCCCTTCCCTTCCCCACACATACTTCATTTGAATTTAGTAAAGAGGAGCATGTACTTTGTGACTGGCATGGTACTAAGTGAAGAAAGCTTCAATGTAACGCCTGCTTACAATAAAGTGGATATACATGCATCCAGCTCTGTTCTCATCAGTAACACAGAACAGCATCAACGTGAGAAGAAAAACATACAGAGAACTTTTTTTTTTAATAAGAAAATTATCTTTTATTAGACCACAGTAAGAGTCAAAGGCATCAATATGTAGACAGTTCTTTCTGATGTACTCTAATTAAGCTGATAATCTTCACACTTATATTTCCCCTCTTGTTTTATATATTTTCAAAATACTTTATTATTATCTC